GTGGCAACCACTAATCTCTTTGTCTTTACTTATTTTCTTATTCTGAACATTTCATAAAAATAGCATTATATGATATGTGATATCACATATCACATTATATGATATGTGATTTTGTGTTTGGCTTCTTTCACTTAATGTAATATTTTCAAGGTTCATCTGTATTGTAGTGTATATCAGTACATCATTTTTATGGCTGCATAATATTTCATTTTATATATACACCGTGTTTTTTAATCCATTCATCAGTTAATAGACATTTGGGTTGGTCCATTTTTTGGCTATTTGAATAACACATTATAACAGTGGGTGCACGTTTAGTGTGGACATTTTTTTTTCATTTCTCTTGGGTATGTTGCAGGGTCATACGGAAATTCCATATTTAACTTTGTGAGTTACCAAAGTAACTGGTTTCCAAATGGTTTCCAAAGTAACTGCCTCATTTATGTTCCCACCAATAATGTATGCAGGTTCTAGTTTCTCCACATCCTTACCAATACTTGTTTTCTTTAATTTTGTTTGTTTTGTGTTTAATGATAGATATCCTAGGCATGTGCAGTGTTATATCATTGTGGTTTTGATGTGTATTTCCCTAATGACTAATGATGTTGAACAGCCTTTCATTTACTTATTGCTCATTTTACGCCATCTTTGGAATTATATTTATTCAAGTCCTTTGCCCATTTTTAAATTGAGTTGTTTGCAAGGTGCCTGTGTGGCTCACTCGGTTAAGCATCCAACTCTTGATTTTGGCTCAGGTAATAATCTCGTGGTTCATGGCATCAAGCCCCATGTTGGGCTCTGTGCTGACAGCATGGAGCCTACTTGGGATTCTCTCTCTCTCTCTCTCTCTCTATCTCTCTCTCTCTCCCTCTTCCCTTCCCCTACCCCTATGTGTACTCTCTCAAAATAAATAAATGAAATAAAACTAAAAAAAATACAGTTGTTTGCCTTTTTGTTGAGTATGTAGAGATATTTATATATTCTGAATACTAGATCCTTACCACATACGTGAATTAGAAATATGTTTCCCTATTCTGTGGAATGCCTTTTAACTTCCTTGATTGTGTCTTTTGATGTTTTTAATTTTGAGTTTTTGATTCTGATAGAATATAACTTATCAAACTTTTTATTTCTTGTGCTTTTAATATCAATCCTAAAAATCCATTGCCAGAATCCATAATAAAGATTTGTACCTGTTTTCTTTTAAGAATTTTATAGTTTTAGATCTCATATGTAGGCTTTTGATCTATTGAGAGTTAATTTTTGTATATGGTGTGTCCAGCTTCAATCTTTTGCATGTGGTTATCCCATTGTCCCAGCACCATTTGTTGAAAAGACTATTATTTCCGCATTGAATGGTCTTAGCACCTTTTTTGATAACCAATTGACAATAGGTATATGGGTTTATTTCTGGATTCTGGATTCTATTCTATTGATCTATATGTCTATGTTTGTGCCAGTATCTGATTATATTGATATTATAGCTTTATAGTAATTTTTGAAATTGGGAAGTGTGAGTTGCCCAATCTCTTCTTTTTTATGATTGCTTTGGTTCTTTGGAGTTCCTTGAGCTTCTGTATGAATGTGAATAAATTTTTCTATTTCTGCAAAAAAAAAAAGCCATTGGGATATTGATAAGGATTGAATTGAATTTGTAGATCATTTTGAGTCATATTGCTATGTAAACAACATTAAGTCTTTCAATCAGTGAAGATGAGATATCTTTCAATTTAGTTAGATCTTCTCTAATTTCTTTCAATAACTTTTATAGCTTTCAGTGTATAAACGTTACACATCCTTGGCTAAATTTATTCCTAAATATTTTATTCTCTTTGATGCCATCATAAATGGAATCATTTTCTTAATTTCACTGTTAGATTGTTCATTACTATTGTATAGAAATATAATTGATTTCGTATCCTGCCAGATTGATTAATTTTTTTGTTCACTCTAATCATATTTTTGTGAACTCTTTAAGATTTTCTCTAAATAAGATCATGTCATCAGCAAATAAAGATAGTTGTACTTCTGTCTTTCCCACCTGGATGACTTTTATTTCTTTTTCTTGCCTATTTTTCCTGGCTAGTCCTTCCAGTGTACTGTTGAATGGAGGTGGCAAGAAAGGACACACTGTCTTACTCTTGATCGATGAGGGAAAGAATTCAGTCTTTCATCACTAAGCATAATGTTAACTGTGGATTTTTCATAGATACTCTTTATCATGTTGAAGAAGTTCCTTTCCATTTCTAGTTTTCTGGGTGTTTCTTTTTTTAATCATGGGAGAGTATTAGATTTTGTCAAATGCTTCTTTTGTGTCATTTGAGATGATAATGCATTTTTTCCTTTGTTGTATTAATGTGGTGTATCACATTGACTGCACATCATTTGTTACTAACTTAATGACTGGTCTTATAAATTTTTCAAAATTAGTGTCATACTTTGTGTTTTCAAACAATATTTTCAAATAATGAACATTATTTTATGTTCCTTTGTGAAAAATTTTATTTACTAGAAGAGTAACAGTGCTTTATATTTATAAATATATATATGTATATATAATTGCATGAAGTAAGCATGTCACTAATTGTCAGTTTTATAAGAGTCAATGGTCTAGCTACCAAAGGAAAACAATAATTCTCAGGTATTTATTATTTTATTTTCCACACTGCAGTATTATTTTTTGGGGTGCATGTATGAAAAAATCATGTTTTCAGATTCACATTTTATATTTTCCCTGGAATTCTGTTTACTATTATAAACATTAATCTGAGTAACTATATTTGTATTGCTATTTCATCAATACATTTTAATGCTTTGATGATTCAGTTTTGAACCATTAATCTAGTTTAGGGTATCAAGAATTTAAAGAAACTTCATGATAACAAGGAAAATAAAAAGTTAAAAAAATATGTCATACAAATGATGAGAATATACATGTTTTTCGAGATAAAAAATACCAGCACAATAGTTCGTAGATGATTATTAAATGCTTTTGGCAATTTTTGCAAACATCATAGTTTTACATTTCAGATTGGTTAAATATATGTTACCAAAATTGTTTCATTGTTTCTTGTCCATAAACTTGCAAACTACTGGTAGATTCTTTTGTACTCTAGGTGATTGCTAGTGGTCTATGTACTTCACCCTAAGGAATTTTGCCCTGAACCACATTTTTAAAATGACTATAATGATATTAACTAAGGGATAAGCCTCTGCTGCAGAGTTTTGGATACTTACCGGCAGTGCCTTAAGCACTGTGTGTGTGTGTGTGTGTGTGTGTGTGTGTGTGTGTGTGTGCATATTTTGTTTTACTTTTACTTCAGCTACATTAGAGTAGTACAGATATTAGGGCTGATATTAGAACTAAGATAAAATAAAGTTTTCTTGAGAATAATAAAAATGTCTATCAAATCATCTTTAAGAATCTTCAAGTTTCATACTACAAAGCTTCTCCCCTCCCAGGTTTATAAAATCTCTAATTATGGAAGTTTATTAATTTGAATTTCTATATTACATATCAAAACAACAGCTACCCGATATTTTGCTGTCTCCTCCCTACAACTTAATTGCCAATGTTCTCACAGGCTCTGCCTTTGGCCCTGTGTTCCTTTAACTCTATTTCCCTGGAGAATCTAACATTATAGGGATGTGGACTACAGCCTCTGAATCCCAAATGTGTATTTCTAGTCTTGACTTCTTTCATCAGATTCTAACAACATCTCCTCTTGGACATTTATACATGCCTCAAACTCATCTTATTTCAAAACCAGTTACTTTCACTCCCATCTATTAGTCAGCTTTCTCTAGAGAAACAGGACCAATAGGAGCTTGCGTGTCTACATATAAAACGGAGACTGAGAAGTCCCACAATCTGCCACCTGCAAGCTGAAGACCCAAGAAAGCCAGTGGTGTAATCCAGACTGAATGTGAAGGGCTGAAAACCAGAGGAGCTGATGGTATAAATCGTAATCCAAGGACAGGAGAAGAGATGAGATGTCCCAGTTATTTCAGTGGAGCAGGAAGAAAGGGGTGAATTCCTTAAATTCCTCCTTCCTCCCCCTTTTGTTCTATCTGTTCTAGAAAGGCCCTCAGTAGATTGGCTGGTGCCCACCACACTGGAGAGGGCAAGCTATTACACAGAGTCCACTGATTCAAATGCTAATCTTGCCCAGTAACACCCTCACAGACACAGAAATAAAGTTTAATCTGGGCACTGTGTCCAGCGCAGTCGAAACATAAAATTAACCATCACACATATCCACCCTCACATGTGTTCTTATTCTCTTTTTTCTTTTCTTTCTACTTCAGTTGGTGGCATTATCCAGTTTTCCATCACTCAAACTAAAAGCCTAGCTACTAGTCATCTGGTGCTTCTAACTCTATATGAGAAATAGTGTTTCAATGTTGTTTTTCCTCTTTACCTATACTGCCTGCCTTAGTTCAGGCCCTTCTTGGTTGTGTCTCCCTGTCCCTCTCTGCTGGCACAGCTCTTTCACTTGATCTCCCAGCTGGCAGTATTTCCATTTCCCTCTCACTCCTCCACAGCCCCCAGAAAAGTCCATAGAAAATGTGAATCTGACCACATCATTCACCTGGGTTTAGAGTCTCCCTGTCCCTGGCAACGTAAAGAATTACTATTCCTTCCATGGACCTATAATCACTTTCCTTCAAATTAAAACTTATTCAGAATTCAAGAGAAAATGGAAATGAGATGCTAGTAAGGAAAACGTCTATGAGCACTACCATCTAGTTCTTAAATATGGAACAGCCTTACATAATGTTTTCATGGCCTAAACTTTTAAAACTTGGATGGAACCTAGATGGCTATTTTGCACCAGATTTTATTAAAACCTACTGAGTTCTATAGAAGAAGATCATTGTATATTTAATTTTTTCTTATACAATTAGAATCATATGTGATACAGTTATCTAAACAAACTTAGTTTCTATTCCTGGAGATTTATTTTGAACAGTGTGATCTAAAACTGACTTTTCCACAGGAACAAAGTTACATATGGGAATTATGCTTCTGGAAAACCACCAGAAGATTGTGCATATCATGGAACAAAAGAAATAAGGAAGAACGGCTAACATGAGACTTGGACTGAGATAACGTTTATCGAAGACAAACATCAGTGATGCATCTCATTGTTCAAGGACTAGATATTTGCTAAAAACAAAACAAAGCAACAACAAAACCCCATGGGATTTAGGAAGCTGAGTCACTGAGGAATATTTACACTACTTTCCCTAAGAATTTTAACACAAATGCTATTCTTTCACCCTTTCCATCAAATCTATTCCTCCTTTGTCCTCTTCATCACAGTAAAATACTCCTATTATCCACCCAGATGCTCAGGACAAAAACCTATGTACAATCTGTGAATATACCCTTTCCTCCATCCCTAATATCAGATCCATCAGCAAGTTCTCAGGGCTCTTCTTCCTAAAGATATCTTAAACCCATCCATTTCTTCTTATCTCTGTCCTTCCTCCCAGTCCATTATCTGTCATCTAGATTCTTTCCATCATTTCCTAACTGTTCTTCGCACTTCCATTTTAGCTTATCTACAATCCATTCTATGCATCAAGAAGAAAGTGATCTTTTAAAAGTAATATCAGATCATGTCACTCATCTGTTGAAAGCCATCTGAGGTTGCCCCACTTCAATGAGATGCAAACTTCTTGCCATATCCTGCATGGTCCTGCATGATTTGGCGTGCCTCCCAATTGGACTTTGTTACCTAGCTCTCTCCCTTGACCTAATTTTCTCTAGGCACACTGGACTTCTAGGTGGAAGGAAACTCACTTGTGCCTGCAGAGCCTTTGTATACCGCTTGGTGCACTTGCTTTGGAATTCTTTGCCAGGCTGCCTTTGCCTCCTCGATAGCCCATATGTAACTACCTGTCATGTTCTGAATTTTGTTTCCCCCAAGTTCATATGTTGAAGTCCTAACTCCCTATAGTTTAGAATGTGATCCTATTGGTTTTCTAGGGCTGCCATAACAAAATTCCATAGGCTGAGTGGCTTACACAATGTAGATTTATTTTCTTACAGTTCTGAGAGCTGGAAGTCCAAGATCAAGGTGTCGGTAGGTGTGATTTATCCTAAGGCATCTCTCCTTGGCCTGCACATGGCCATCTTCTTGCTGTGTTTTCACATGTTTCCTCTGTGTGCACCTCCCTAGTGTCCCTTTTCTATTAAGGACACCAATTTTGTTAGATTAGGGCTTCACCCTTATGATTTCATTTAACCTTAATTATCTCCTTAAAGCCCTATCTCCAAATATAGTTACATTGTGGATTAGGGCTTCAACATATGAATTTTTGAAGGGACACAATTGAATCCTTAACATCGACTGCATTTGTAGATGAGGTCCTTAAAGAGGTAATTAAGTTAAAAGGAGGTGAGAGGGTGGGCACTAATCTAATAGGACTGTTGTTTTTATAAGATGAGAAGATTAGGACACAGACATATACAGAGGGAAGACAATGGAAATGCAAGCCAAGGAGAGAAACCACAAAAGAAACCAATTCTGCCAACGTCTTGCTCTTGGACTTCTAGCCTCCAGAATTATGAGAAAATACATTCCTGATATTTTTGCCCCCAATCTGTGGTACTTTGGTATGGTGCCCTAGCAAACTACTAAACCACCTCTACAAGGCCTTTCCTGAGCCCTCAAGCTAGGCAGACCTTTGCTATCTCTATCCTATTTTTGTGTCACTGGAAGGTAACCCATGACAACACGGATCTAGCTGTGTTGTTCTCTGTAGGTCTTTAGCACGAGGAGAGGAGACTGGCTCATTGTATTATGCTCCGTTGATTGATTCAATGTATAGATGAGAGACTACCTGAACAGGTGAGTGGATGGACCATCTTACAGACAACAAACCCAGAAGAAGTAGGACATGGAATTAGCAAAGTTTGAAAAAAGGAACTTTATAGGGCTTTGCCTAGAAAAGAATAATGAGACTGTAGCAATGGGATGGTTTTAGGTCAAAGGGTTAGGGGAAGCTAGTAGAGAATGCATGGCAGGTGAAGTGGAGACAGAATAGCTACAGTCACTATGACTATAGAGTTAGAAATACAGTGCAGTTGTCCTCCTGTGAGATAGCAGTGAAAGAGGCAGGCTGCTAGCTTCGGGACTGGGTAGAAAGGGGAAGCAAGGCTGTGCACATCGTGACATATTCATCTATATAATTCAAGCTTTCTCAGGCAGGTGCTACTTCTAAAACTTTTCAATGAATTCTGTTTTCTGAAGAGTGATAATGAATGAATAAGTTTTAAGCGTTGGCTCATTAAATTTTTACAACTATGTGAAGCACGCATTATTATTATCTTAATTTTACCCATGAGAAAACTCTTTTACTATCCTGCCCTAACTCCTTAAGAAACAAAGTCAGGAATTAGACCCAGGCAGTCCAATTCCAGAAAAGATTTCTTTACTACATATGCTGAATTAGAAAACTTTTGTCTTCTACTAATTGCACATACAATTTAAAATCACAGCTTATTTTCTTTATTTGTAATTTCTTTTATATTTATTTTATTTGTACTTTATTTATAATTATGCATTTTGGTGGCTGTCTTGTATATACATATTTATAATCCATGTGCTTTGGGGAAAATTTTATATAGATAGTGTCTTCAGCAGAAGCAAAAAAAAATGCATATATACTTATATATGTGTTAATGACATTTGATTGATTGATTGATTGATTGATCGATATTTACCACATACCTGCTTTGATTTCATGAGTCCAACTTTTCCCTGGTCAGGAGCTTGACAAAGATAAATTGAGAATGGCTTTGAAGTTCCTGCCTTTAATTGCTGCATGTGTAATGAGATGTTATTTGTTTGTAGAGTTGATATTCAGACACAGTTCCATTTCTCTTTTGTTCACATTATTCTGCTTTCCAGCGACCGTCCAAGCCTCATAGTCATGTTTTGATTAAGGGACTAATGCTTTATTAAATTTTGAATAGAGTCTGTTATCAGTGTAGTGTTATTCTTATTGAAATAGCAACATAATATTCTTCAGCTGCTTTGTGAAAGGAGAGCAAAATGTGATTTCTATCCTTACTCTGATTCCTAGTTGTTTACAGTGGTTTAAATAATTCTTTTTGTGAAAGGCTCCCAATTTTAGTTTGAGATGATACTGGGCTATATCACTGATTCTACTATCAGCCAATACATTGGAGGTGTGGTCCACCTATTCCAATTTTATTACTTCTTGAGAGGTGAGGATGCATTTACATGAAATACTGATTTCTACCCAGAATTCTGCTCAGTGACCCTAAGGTAGGCAGTTCATTTCGGAGAGGCTGATGACTTCCAAGTTCTCCTTGTGTTTTCTAATTCTTTAAGTATTACTTAGTCAACAAAACATAAGATCCTTGAAGACTTCTTTTTTGTATACGAGATGCATGAAAAAGACCTGGAGTTCGGAATTCATGACCTTCTCAGATACACAGATCTTCTGAAAATATTCCCTCTCCAAGGCCTTGACCTCAGTCACAGCATCTGTGGAAGAAAGAAATGGAATTAGATAAGTTTTAATCATTTTAACACAATTTTATGCTGAATGATTTTATTACTTCTGTCTTGTGTTGTAGTAGCTTTTATAAATACGTCAACAACACATTCATGTATTTATTGACTACCTAGTAGGATAAAATGGTGGATTGAGTTCATCACATTTTTATGGTAGACATTTCACATGTATAAAATATATTTATGCATTCAACAAATGCTTATTCATTGGCTGTTATGTGCAAAGCACTGTGCTAAGTGGATACATGCAGGGAAAATAACAGACCGTAAGTATCAAGCTGCTTTTTGATTTTTGGGAATTTGGAGAGTGGCTTATGTCCGTAGAAACTAGCAGAAACAAATGCTCAGAAGTGAGATTCAAACTTAATGGTCTTAACTTCAGTATCAAAGGCTGAAATGGGGTGCATTCCTTCCAGAGGTGTGAGAGGAGAATTCATTTCCTTGCCCTTTCCAATTTATAGAAGCTGCTTGGATTTCTTGGCTTGGCTTATGGCCACGTCACTCCACCCTCTGCTTTGTCATCACATCTTCTCTGAGCTTGACATACCTACCTCCTTCTCATAAGGATCCATGTGATTACATCGGGCTCATCCTGATAAATCCAGGATAATTTCTCCATCTCAAGATCCTTAGCTTAATTGCATCTTCAAAGTCCCTTTGCCATGTGACATAACATATTCACGGGTTCTGGGGATTAGGACATGGACATTTTGGGGAGCCATTATTCTGCCTACCAAAAATTTTTTGGAAATTTGTAGATTAACAGTAAAAAGGGGCACCTGGGTGGCTCAGTCGGTTAAGCATCCGACTCTTGATCTCAGCTCAGGTCTTGATCTCAGTTCAGGTCTTGATCTCAGGGTCATGAGTTCAAGCCCTGCACTGGGCTTTAAAAAAATTTTTTTTAATGTTTATTTTTTTTTTTTTTGAGAGAGACAGAGATGGAGTGTGAGCAGGGGAGGGGCAGAGAGAAAGGGAGACAGAATCCAGAGCAGCCTCCAGGCTCTGAGCAAGCTGTCAGCACAGAGCCTGATGCGGGGCTTGAACTCACAAACCGTGAGATCATGACCTGAGCCGAAGTCGGACACTTAACCAACTGAGCTACCCACCCTGCCACTCCCCTCACATTGGGCTTTTTTAAAAACAAAAACAAAAACAAAAGAAAACAGAAACAATAACAACAACAAAACCCAAAACAATAAAAATACATAGAGAATTTCTACTATGCAGGATGTATGTCCTTAAAACAATACTATAGTTTAAAAATAATTATACTAATTAATGTTACAGTTATGATAATATGGCCACCTTGGCTCAAACAATTTCTAAGATGTCTTCTTGGCGACTGCTGTTTGAGTCTAGAACATAATCTTGACAGGTCTTCACCTTCTGAAAGTAAAATTTATTTACGTGATATTTATGATATATGGAGCCTAAAACTGATGAATAAAATTGTTGCATCCAGTGGATATTTTGGGTTCTAATCAAACAAAACAAATAACTACTGCTACAAAGAAATGAGGCTGATTTTTATTATGTAATAATAGTAATATGTGTCATTATCACTGTCACTTACTAAGTACAAGGCCATTTCCTAAGGGCCTATATATATATATATATATATATATATATATATATATATTCATTCCTTAAATTCTTATAACAACACAATGAGTTAGATGCTATTATTCTCTCCATTTTAAGATGAGGGAACTGAGGCACAGGGGTTAAATAACTTGCCCCGAATCACAGAGCTAGAAAGAGGCAGGGATAGGATTTGAACTCAGACCCTCTGACT